ACAAAATTTGAATAACAAAAAATTATGTTGAAAAAGAACGGGTTGAAAGTTGAACACTTTGGTTACCATATAACTATGAGATATGATAAAAGTTTGTCACCATGTGGAGTATTCCTATTTTAGTCACATTATTGAAGTGCAGTATAGACATGTAAACACCAAGTGGCAACCCCGTTTGACGGCAAACAAAAGAGCATGGCTTCAACGACGCCGTCGTCTGTTTGCACGTACAGCATGACAAATTATTAACTGCACTTGAGGCTTTCATAAAATAAGAATGAAACTCCCAAAACTGTATATGGCACCATAACGAAGATCAACTATGTTTATACGTGAAATTCGATTAAAATCATTCCGATTGAAAGACTCGGTGGACTGTTTACATGAGACGTTATCTAATCCGAATGACAACAAATAGCCTACAAATCACCAGAGGAAAAAAAAAGCGCCTGAATAAACACAATATAGCTTGATCTCAGCCAGTTGATCAACACATATCATCATATCGCCATAATTTCTTAATGTTAAAGCATTGAGGGATAAAATAACAGCACGACCCTCTGTAATGCAGTTGTAATTTCAACTTCTACCTCCACTATTTCCCAGTCTCTACTGTAGTGTCGGTGTCTTTAAATTCCATAATGCAGCAAAGTAATCGGTTTAACACATTTACATGGCAGAATTTTATAGAAAGGTTTATCCCACCCCACTCAAACCGATTAAAATTTCATTCGGTTTCGGCATTTTTATTCCGATTGAGGTGTTTATATGGATCATTTCCATTCAGACTGGACTTTTAACCCGATTACAATGCTCCATGTAAATGCACCCAGTGTCTCTCACACAGGTTTGATGAAATGAAGAGCCACGGGTTGATCCATCCTCGGTGTCTCCTACAGACGATCATTCCTGTCCACTATCTGTATCTGTCTGGATACAGGCCTCTACCGCTCCATCTACATCTCTTCATATCTTATCCTGTCCGTTTCCTCCATAGTGAGAACTGCTGATGGCACCACTGCCAGAGGACACTCATGAATAAAGCTCATGGGATCTGCTCTGAACCCAAACCCCCTGAGCACTACTGATGATGGCACCAAATGATCATGTGTGTTTCCTCAAACTCGTTCATAGTCAGACATCCATGCCAAACTACGCTAAACTTCACATAATCACACAACCCATTGGGACCCTAGCTCTTGCACTCTAGTGAGGAAGAGCTGGCCGAGATTATCTCACTCTACTGCGTCTGAGTCATCTCTCAGTGTGGAGTTATTTCATGGGATGGGCGGAGTCATTTTAGCTAGTGGGTGGAGTTATCTCAGCTGGGGAGCGTGTGTGGAGTGTAGAGAACATATGGACAGGATGTTGGTGTGTCACAGGAGAGAGAGAGAGAGAGAGAGAGAGAGAGAGAGAGAGAGAGAGAGAGAGCGAGAGAGAGAGAGACTGAGTCATCTCTCAGTGTGGAGTTATTTCATGGGATGGGCGGAGTCATTTTAGCTAGTGGGTGGAGTTATCTCAGCTGGGGAGCGTGTGTGGAGTGTAGAGAACATATGGACAGGATGTTGGTGTGTCACAGGAGAGAGAGAGAGAGAGAGAGAGAGAGAGAGAGAGAGAGGTTGTGTTTAATTAGTCTCATCAGAGCAAAGGTGGAGCAGGTGAACGGAAACATGACTATCCGCGCCTGCCGTCCTCACACACTTTCTGATTTCCTCGTTGCTCATCCTTGTTTCTTTCTATCGCTCATTCCTCATTATTTCCCTCTGCGAGTCGAGTTGAGGAGAGCAGATGGTGGATCACACAGTGAGACCAGCCTGCCGTCCACTCCCCCCCCGTTTCAGTTTTAATGTGCTTTATTAGCATGACAAATAACAGTACATTCATACTGCCACAGCAGATGCAGCTTAGCTGCTGACAATAAAAACCAACAAGAAAACATAACAGTAACGATGAGAAAAGAACACAGACAACTATAACAAATCAGCACTAATAATAATGCTCATATAAGTGACAGATACACACAGATCAGCAGCGCTGGGGAAGACATGCATGACGTGATCAGATGAGGCGGGGAGCGAGTAGCCCATTGCTTGTTTCACAAGTTCATCTGCTCATCTTGTCCTGACTAATGTGGCTTGCTGTTCTTGAAGGAGGGGCTCAGTTCCGTGATTCGGCTCCAGCTCTGAGCAAACACCCCAGACTACAGAACTGGATAGACTGAGGTGCTGCAGCTTAGAATAGAGACAGGTGCTGGAGAAGCCATCGACTGCTGCTTATATACGCTTGTGATGATGATGATGATGATGATGATGATGATTGACAGGCCTACATTTAGAACTTAAACATTAAATTCCCACCATAAAGCAGAAGATACTCTTTTCAAATAAGTAATGCATGTTCTTTTTTTTTTTATATATAATTCTATTTTTCCCTAATTATTTAATTTATTTACTGACAAATGCAATAGAAAATAAACAAAACAAACAAACAATTATGCTTTGGGGGAAAAAATAATATTTTGACTTCTAAGCACGCCGTTAGTCTGTTCAGTGATTTACTTGTCTGCCACAATAATGTACTGTCTTTGACAAATATTGACTTAGGCCTACTTTTTTTTTTTCAGCAAATATTCATATGCATGATTAATTTAATTACTTCACTTTTTTATCGAATTGACATCCCTGATAAGAACTATTTTTCAAAAATCGAACATTTAAATGTGTAATACATATGTGTGAGGTGTGGAGAAAAAATGCATATATGTAAAATAATTTTAAAATTATCTTTTGGTTTTGATGTATAAATGTAAAGATAATCTCATGTTGTCCCTTGCCATAGGATTCAACCTGAGGATCCTCAACAGTTTGTCAGCATTTTTAATTAGTGTTTCATTATATAATTTCATTTAATTCT